CGGGGAATAATTTTTTATCTCATTATCTCTTTTTTTGGCTCCTCTATCCGTGCTCGGAGGCGTCATTACGACTGTCGCAAAGGGGACACCATCCGTCAGGAATTCGTTTTCGCTCTTTTTTTTTCATTTTTTTCCCCCAGACCTGCTTTTCGAAAAATTCTCACGAGCGCGGAGGGAATTGTTCCTGCTCGGCAATATGCAAATTCTGCGATTCGAGGTGTTCGCATTATGCGGCGCGCTTTTTATCTCTGGTATCTCTAGGTATCTCTGGGCTCGTTTTTCTTTTTTTTTGTTCAGAGTGCCTCTTGACGGTGTAACATGACGACCATGTGTTTTATTCACTGGTTTAGTATACCTTTTGCTCATTGTTTAATCATTTATGAGCTTATTAAATTCCTGGCTACTGCAATTGTCCTGGCAAGCTCGCAAAAAAAGCATCCGTAGTAATGTGACAAATTGGAAGATGTTGGGAAAACTCGCGGGAACGACTTAACGACGTTAACGCGATCTTCCGTAATTCTTCCAGGACCGTCAGGAGAGGTTTTTCCAGCCTCGCGAAAAATCTGTCACCTCTCTGCGCTAACTGGACTAACGAGACAACAGGACTCGCAAAAAAAAAAGAAAGAGTTGGAGGAGGAAATGAAAAGTCAAGGAACAGAAACGGCGAACGAGTGTCAGCGTTTCGCCGGATCCGAGAAACGTAATCAGGGAAACGCTAAAAGGAAAGTCCGTCGTCGGTCTTCCTTTAAATATCTCATTTTTAATTCCCAAGTTTCCAAAGACTGTTTGGTACACCTAGAGATTAAAAAAAAAATGCCGTTTGGTTTTTGGATCGCCATTCATTCATTTCGGATTCATATGCACGAAAGGAAACTCGAAGGTTTCCTCGCTAAAGTATTGGTCCTAGTACTTTTGTCGTTTCCTAAATATTTCATTTAAAAATTCCTACGTCCCGAGGAATTTCAGATTTACCTTAGATTGAAATAAAATAATGAATTAAAGTCTGGTTTTCAAATCGCCATCCATCCATTTCGAATCCACGAGCGCGGGAGGTGTTAAGAAAAATGGCGGGAAAACTTCCGCTCGTAACGAGATGATTTCGGAGCGATGGCCGCCCTCGAGAGAGAAGTTCCACTCGCGAGGGCTTCCTCGTTAAAGTTTCGGTTCTAATATTCATGTCGACTCGCCACGCGAGAAGTTCGGAGTGGGCACTTCGAAGTTTCGCAAAGGAAAATTCCGTCGGAAAACGTCGGCGGAGGAATGCGCGGCGGAATTCGGAGCAAGGACTCCTCCGTAGGGGAGAATTTCCAGCAGAGGAGCCGGGCCACCCTTTGTTAAGCAACGTTACCGTGCAATTGGGAAATCCTCCCAGTAGTTACCTCCTAATGAGGACATCAAAGTTACGCACACAATTCCGGACGCGACGAATGCCGGTTCCTCAAAAATAAATACTTCCGCCGCGCGCACCTTTGAGCGCGGCCTCGTTTTTAATTTCGCCTTGATGATTTAGACTCGAGTAACGAGGTTAACGAGTGCACGACGAGGATCCTCGGCGTCAAGGACACGGCCGTATTTTTTTTTATCGGGAAATCCCGACCCGGGATCGATCATACGCGTATCTCGATGATACGCGATTTCGGACCGAACCCGTCGATTGGGAGGAAATTGCCGAAAATTAATCGGGAAGGATACGATAAAGGATTCCCGATAAAAGGTCCTTCGGTAGGTCTCGAAGTCTCTTATCCTTGCGCCTGTTGCACGCTCCTGGATATTTCTCCTCGTCAAATGTCCTGACGAGTTCCGCTCTCGGCGTCGTCTTTCATTCGGTGCCATCTTGGAACTTCCGGCCGGAAGTATCCTCGTCGTATAATATAACTTCCAGCCTCGGGAAAGTATCGCATCTCCTGGTCCTGTGACCGCGTTCCTTCTGGACTTCTCCCAGGGATGTGATATTCCTGAAGAGACTGTAATCCGTAATCTTCCTCGGTTGAGGACTACGCAATCGCGTAATGCGATTCGCGTTAGAGGGTAATTCTCTGTCCTGTACTTCCCCACCTGAATTTTCTCCCTGCCAGGAGTCCTCCTGTAAGTTTCGTCCTTTCGGTGTCCTTTCCGAGGGATAACTTTCCTCAGACTCCTGACAACTCCATCTCGCGTCCTCCCCTTGCTCCTGGATCTCGTATTCTCTCTATGTCTTCTTCGTGCACGTTGGAGCAGTCGTGAAATTTTGCGAAAGTCTCATTGCTCCTCATTACCGTACCACTCGGGCAATTAAGAAAGCTCGCACGAACGTACCCTAGCCCCCCTCTGTCGTAAATAGTGTCTTCCGGAGTTCTTCCCCGGACACTCCAAGGCTCCCCTGGGAACTGGTGTCTCCTCCCATCCCGGATTTCCTGGGAAACGACGTCGATTTCGTCCTCTCATTGCACTTACGAGAACTTGTAGAATATGCTGCGAGGTCTTCCTTTTCTGACCAACGATGTGGAATTTTAGCTGAGTGATCTTAATTATTTTAAACTTGCCCATCCTGTCTTGATAAATAAATAAATAGGCGCAGGAATATTAAAGCCCTTTTCCGCGAGTCTATTTCCTTTTTTCTCTCAATTTTCCGATTTCGTCCTTTCGTTGTGCTCCAAAAAATATTTTGAAAATGCTGCGAGGTCTTCCTTTTCTGACCAACGATGTGGAATTACAGCTGAGCGATCATAATTATTTTAAACTTGCCCATCCTGACTTGATAAATAAATAGGCGCAGGAATATTAATGACCTTTTCCTCGAGTCTATTTCCATTTTTCTTTCAATTTTCCGATTTCGTCCTTTCGTTGTGCTCCAAAAAATGTTTAGAAAATTCTGCGAGGTCTTCCTTTTCTGACCAACGATGTGGAATTATATCTGGGAAACGTTATTTATTTGAATGTGATCCATCATGACATAATAAATAATCAGCTCCAAGGATGTTACGGTCATTTTCCCTCGATTTCCATTTCCTACAAACTCCGCATAATTTTCCGCAGACCCTGCCCTTCATATCCATTTTCCAAATCCAGTTCGAGTGGCCCTATTTGTCGAAGTCTGAAACGCCCATCGCGCATCCGAAATTCATCCGTGTCAGAGGCATTGTCAAAAACGAAAATGAAAATGAAAATATTGTAAACATCCGGCCCGAGAGTCGGGTGGAAATATTTTGTTCCGCGTACGCTGGAACTCGTGTTCTCTCTGCTTTGCAAGGATGATCCAACCTGCAATTTCCCTCGTAAATTTCCCGATGGAAAACAGCCGGGCCCAGTGGAAATGTCCTTCCCTATTTTTTGTTTTCTCTCCGCTTCATTCCCGAACAATTGTCATTCGCCGGTGCAGTTTACACCGTGCACTTGCGATTCGCCACTTCCCGGCGGAGCGTTTCAATGAAAATCGAGAGGTCTTTTGGCATGTCGGAAAAATCGCTGAGAAAAATCTGGCCCGCTAAAAGAAGGTATCTAGACGAGGACTAAATTTCGATAATGACTGGAAGCCTGGTAATCTGGGAAAAAAAAAAAAAAAAAGCACTGAAAGGAACTCATCTTTTCGAGTCCGTCTTCGACGTCGGGAAGGCGGAACAATGGCATGGCGGTCGGTTGTGATTGGCCCTCTAATTGAAAAACTTGTACATACCAGATCTCCTCGATTTGGATACGGACTCCCTTGGAAGTCACTCTGGCTGGTGATTAAGGCCGTTTCCATCAGGGCTCCAATCATAATGGCTCGTTATGCAAGACTATGGTCATCCCAGTTTCCGGGACATCTCCGAGAGCGAGAGACCCCAATTTGTACTCGAGTTGTTTCCGTCTCTCTCCGGACTGCGTTTGCCCCGGTACTTTTGTTCCTCTCTCTTTATGCACTCGTAACTTGAGCGCAATCACCGAGGAGATACTCGCGGCCCATTAAGCTCGAATAGGTACCGAGATTTATAGAAAATCGTTTACCGTATAAATATATACACGGGAGCAAGGATCGTCCCGGAGAGGGAAAATGGCGGAAAAACGTCGATTTCCTTTCAAACGCGCGCAGCTCGAGGATTGAAATTCGCCTCACCTCTGAATTTTTCGGATTTTCATAACAGGGTCTAATTGTCTTATGAACATTTCTGCGGGAAGGATCGATTTTGATTGTTTATAATCCCCTTTTAAATGCGCAGGTCAAGGATTAAGATCCACTTTACGACTGGTTGGATTTATAAAAAGTACAATTTTTAGGGGTACAATTTTTTAATGAAAAATGTAATCCCGCAAAGGGATCGATGCCTTTTATCCCGCCGCGTCTCTCCAGCAGGATTGACATCGGAAATGGCAACAATGGGTGTGTGAGTCCGTCATGAACACCGGTAACACACAATCGATTCCATCCGCTATGTATTTCCACGCTCGGAGCTATGTAATTGGTTGGCTCTTCATATATATCCATCGATTTCCCTCGAATCCTCTAAGCTCCATTGTAGCATGGAACGTGGATGGGATTACCGTCCAAATATTGTGGTTGCACGGTCTTAGAGGTCCTCGTTGATCCATGGCTGTTAATAAATGCATCCATGGGACCACTTTGAACGTCTCTCGACCTCCATATGAACATTTCGAAGAAATCAGAAAACATATGAAACAACTAGCAAATATGAAAAAGGAAAGCATTAATAACCGCCTTCATGGGATCACTTTTGACAGGTGTCCAATTTCTCTACCCTACTTCATTCTAAGAATCTCCAATTGTTCTAAAAAAAATCCCTTATGAAATAGACGCCACTCTCTAAATAGGGTGTATAAAAGAACGAATAATTTCATGGATTCTAATCCGATGAACATGTCCTTTGGCGCTTGTTTCGGAGTTCCTGTGGTAACGTTTAATTCTATATTTCTTTGCCGTGCAACTCGGGTTAACGCTAAATACATTTCTTGCACGTGCGTGTGCATATATTTTCGCGTGGGTCCATCCACGAATACACGGGCAATCGGATCCTTTGAGTACTTACCAGTTCCCGGTTCCAGAAAGCACCTCGCCACCAGCAGGATCAATAGGAACGTTTCCATGGCTCGGTTCAGGTCTTCATCGCTCCCGCGATCGTTCCCTATTCTGGCCCCTGTAACAGGATTAAATGGGACGTGCCCGTTAAATGGAATCGCTCTACACCTCGCCGTGTGATTATTGTCGTGCACTTTGGACACGGCGGTGTTCTTGTGCTCGACCCGATCGGGTTTCCTTCCCATCAAAGAGACAATCGCTGTTCCCCGCACAACGGCTTGCCGCGGTGAGATCTGGCATCGGGCCGTCGAGGGGGTCGGATTCCAATTGAAATGCATAGTCCTGGTGCGCTTAATAAATATTCCACCGAGTCCTCGATAACTCCCAGATCTCGCCCGATTACGCGAAGCAACGTGCACGGGTGTAGAGATACATGGGAAATTCACGGGGAAAATTGGGTCTCAGCGATCCTGCGTGATACCTGGGAAATTGGATCTCAGTGATCCTGCATGATACCTGGGAAATTCAGGGGGAAATTGGGTCTCAGCAATTCTGCGTGATACCTGGGAAATTCAGGGGGAAATTGGGTCTCAGTGATCCTGTGTGATACCTGGGAACTTCACGAGGAAAATTGGTCTCGGCGATTCTGCGTGATACCTGGGAAATTGGATCTCAGTGATCCTGCATGATACCTGGGAAATTCAGGGGGAAATTGGGTCTCGGCAATTCTGCGTGATACCTGGGAAATTCAGGCAATTCTGCGTGATACCTGGGAAATTCAGGGGGAAATTGGGTCTCAGCGATCCTGCGTGGTACCTGGGAAATTCACGAGGAAAATTGGGTCTCAGCGATTCTGCGTGATACCTGGGAAATTCACGGGGAAAATTGGGTCTCGGCGATCCTGTGCCTAAGTTTTGTGGATAACCACAAGATTAGGTAAAGGTACGACGGGGGAAAAAATGGGGAACATAATCTGGCGCGTTTAAAAAATATTTCATCGAGTTCTCAATATTTCCCGGATTTCCCACGATTACGAAAAGCAACGTGTACGGGTATAGAGATACCTGGGAAATTCACGGGGAAAATTGGGTCTCGGCGTTCCTGTACCCAAGTCGGGCGGACAACCGCAAGTTTGGGTGGAGGTACAAGGAAGGAAAAACGGAAAGAAAAAGGAGAAACAAGCCACGCTCTCGCGTCGGACTTCCGGGCTCGCAAAGCGTCAAAGGGGGCTTGCGAGAGACTTTGCGGCGCGCTCGAAAGCCGACACGATGCACCGTGCGGTGCACGGTGCAGTTTTCGAGCTGCATAGCCACGGCCCAGTCCTCGATAGTGTCGAATAGCCGGACGGTTGGTCGCTTTGAAATTTGAGCCGCAGTTCCGCAAACACTTTGGTCTATTGGCTCCCGGACAGGGAGTGGGTGCAGGTGCATGCGAGGTGTCCGCGGGGTGAAAATGACGCGGATGCACCGGGGTGCATGTCGTCGGCCTGCTTCCGCCAGAGCGTTATCGCGGATTTTTGTCCCCCACGGTCGGCATTAAACGTTGCGCCGCTCAAACGAAAAAAATAGAGACCACGGATAACGTTACCCCCGAAATAACAACCTCGACATCGTTACCCCTAACGCGCCCTAAAACCCATCTAATAGCCAATTTCATATCTCCCAAGATACGCCTCCACTTTACTCCACCATTTCACTAAAAAAGTCCCAAAGTTACAAGAATTCATTATTCCGCACCGAAAATAACTACGTATTAATTGACAACACTATGTAACACCATATGATTCTAAAATCCCACCGATGATTTCCTGCAAAATTTAAACGGCTAATAATTGTATCCAAGGAATTTGTTCATAAAGTGAAACCTTATGATACAATTGAATCTGTATAAATTTATGTCTGTTCTAAATGTACGAGTAATCGATTACGGAAAATTAATATTAGTGAATTTCATGTTATGTCAGGTATTTTTCGTGCTCAATCGGAAATGTGTATGTGCAAAAAGAGTGCGCATGTATATTCCGAATCTCGCTGATTGCAGGTGAACCCTCTACCTGGGTGCGTCCTCCTCGCTGCAGTGGCCCCAAAGTTGGGCCAAGTCAATAGGCACATCGCGAGGATGCCCGAAAGCCAACAGCGGCCGTCTCGAGACAATGCTTACCCTCCATACCCCATAAACTAAACATTAAACACCGTGCCCCGTGCATTGCAGGGCATGCATCATCTTGAGTCGCTGCACCCCAGGGGAGCCAGGTGAACAGCTGTTTGCTCTCGCGTGCCATTAGCGCGAGCCACGGATTATCAGGCCGGCGAAACGGCCCGGTGTTTGGTCAGCCCGTCGATAAACGGTCCTGGAAGTTAATTATCGCATCGAACCCGGTGCACAAGACCGAAATATTCGCCCCGGAATATTTACCCTGGAACATGGGCTCCGAAATCCGTCTCGAGGCAATATTTCTTTATGGCTACTCCACCGCTGGCTCGTCACTCGAAACATCACCACGTGACTCGTATTTAAAGTTCAAAAATAAATCTTCAATTTATAGAGAAATTTCCTTGACTTAGCCAAGACCAGAGCGAAAGTGGCGTTGTTCTTCTATATTAAAATAATAAATTGGAGATAAATGCAAGGGAAGCTTACAAGGCAACTCCGACTGAAATCGGTCAGCGCATGACTCGTGAGTACTTAAGAAAAATTCTTACGTTTTGAAAATATTAGTGTATTTCCAATGAGATGTTTTATTTAGCCAGGGCCATTGGTTCTATATTTGAAAATAAATCGTGGTTGAGATCGGAGAAAATAACAGAAACTCGGAAGACATCCCTTTAGTGGAATGTCCAGGAATCGGTCAGCTCCGAGGTCGGAGGCGCCACAATTCCGGGATTTCTTCGCCGAGGCACGCCCGATGTCACGCACGCAGGGAGATTACTTATTTCCGGGGTGGCGTGAAATCGAATTAAGAGGCCAGCATCGAGATTCACGTGCACGCACGCGAGAGAGGGAGAGAGGGCCACGGGAGCGGGACAGAAGAGCGGGAGAAAAAAAAAGCCGGGATGGAGCGAGATAGCCAGCCTTCGGAGAGCGATATCAAGCCCTAAGGGTGGGTTCTCACGCGAGGGTAATTTCGCTGGCTTCCCTGTCCCGAATGCAGGCGAGTGCATCGGTGGGGTGCGGCTTAAATATCCCGAGACTAGTTTAAATAGAGATGTCCAAGTTAGGGGATGGAAGTTAGAAATAAGTTAGTCGCGAGTGCGCGCTTGTACGGTACCAGGGGGTGACACGTTGGGGTAAACAGAGATAGAAATCTCTGTATTAAAATACAGTCGCGATATTAGGGGACTCCAGGTGAAGAAGAAAAGCGAGGGTAGGGTCGCCTTGAAAATTCTGAAAATCCTAGAAATCCTGCAAATCCTGGAAAATTCCCTTAAAGTCCCCGCCCGAGGGGGCGGAAATTTCAGACGCCCGCGTTACTTTGATTATAATTAAAGGGGGGTCGAAAAAGGGGGCGTTTCGCGAAATGGGGTCCCATGGTACGGGGCGAAGGAAATCGTTGCCGGTTAATTTACGCCGGCGACTTGGCCCTATTTCTCGGGCCCTCCCCGGGGCTTTTTCATCCCCTAGCCCTCGATTTTCTCCTGCCGTCCCTCCGCTTTATCCCCTGGATAAATCGTCGGGTTCGCGAATATTCATGCGAGACTCTTCGCGGGGGGCGGCCGGGGACGGCCCAGGAATTACGGGAGAATGGGACGGGCTGGTTTTATTTCATTTTATGCTGGGGTAAAAGGGGCCGGAGGGAGGCTCCGTTGACGTCGTCACGTCGTCGTTTGCATTCATCGATTCGAGTTCGAACGACTCGGGCCTCGCCGGCCGAAGTTAATCTCGACGCTCCGGAAGTTCCGGGGCTGATCGATCGCGCGAATCGTCGAACAAATTTTCCATTCGGGAACTTCCTCGGCCGGGGGAACTTTTCGAGACCGACTCGCCTCCTTTAACTCCGCCATCCACGTCGGGAGGCGATACGGTAGGCCGGGGAAAGTTTATAAGCGAGATTGAAATTTCGAAGGATTTTGGACAGGCCTCGAAGAGCGTCGACGTCGACGGCTACTCAGGAAAAATCCAGGAAAATGTCCAGAGCTTGTAGACATTTAAACGACGTTTCTATCCCACGTGTACGTTCAAGTGATCGAAGGAGGTCAGACCTATCTCTAGACTTCGGCAGAAAATAATCGAGTATCCGAAATTTCTTAACAAAGGTTAAACAATAGGGTGAATGCGTCACCATAGTATTTTTAATACCTCTAGGAGAACTTTCGGAAAAATTCAGGGGGGATATCGGAATAATGTCTCCTTTACTTCGTCTCCCACATTTCCGCGAGCTCTCTGAGAAAACGGCGCAGGAGTTTAAAGAGTTTCTCTTCATTTTTTGTCTTTTTTTTTGTCTTTTTCTTTTTTTTTCCCCCACCCCCGGGGAAGCCAGTCGAACGTTACACTCAAAGCGGCAAACTTTTCTTAAGGTTAAAACAGTAGAATAAATATTTCATCCGCAGGATGCACTCGACGTGCGTTTACCCCCCCACGCGAATTCATGCCGACCTCGCTAACGAGATGCAAAGGAGGTAGGCAGAGTAAAGGTAAAGGCGGAGGAGAAAAAGCCGAAGAAAGAATCGCAAATATGAGAGGTAGAGTACCTGAGGGAAGAATCCGTTTTAATATTGCACGACCGCAGTGGTGCAATAATGCAGGGGCTCGCGGACGCGCCGTCGGCTGGAAGTGTTGCATCTCATTAATCGGCTTTCCCCCGCCAAGTTCCCACGTAAGTCGGGAATTAACAATGAAAACGTGTCAGACGTGCGGCACCGCACGGCAAAGTTAGGGGAAATTTCCCCGAGAGATTAGGGTGCATCCGGAATCTCCCGCGGGACTCGGGCTAATCCCGGAACGAGGACGTCGAAGGACCTCCCCGGGATCTCCGATATTCCTGGGGGGCGACATCGAAAATTTCACAAAATGGGGGGGAAAGAAAAGAAAAAACCAGCTCTTTCCGCTTCATTCTCGAATTTTTATGCAAAAGAGTCTCAGGGACCCGGGAGACCTGCACAGCAATAATGCCCCCCGACG